CACCTCTATCCTTAACAAGTGCTGGTGGGCGGGAATCCGGGCCAGCAGCAACAAAACGTATGAGAGCTGTGATCGCGTCTCGGACCTCGGCCTCCATGGCTCGTCCTGCATCACCTAAGTAGGAGGAGGTCCGGGAACAGGTGGAAGCTGAACTGACATTGAAAGTGTTCCACCCAATGAGCCAGCCGGCGCTCCTTATTATGTATCAGTGCACCCGCGCTGTCTCTGATTGTCCTACTGACGCCTGATTTCTTGAGACCAGTGGTGCAAATAAGCTGGAAGAGCTTACCGTAATTGCCTACTGCTCCCGCCTCCTCCATTTCTTGAGCCCCACTGGTCCACCAGGCTTCCTTGTCAGCACGCAGCTTCCACTTTAGCTAACGTATAATAATCCATCTGATCACATTGTGCTGAGTCAGCCGGGAGGTTTCTTCTGGATTCTCACAGGTTCACCGACCTCTGATATTCAGCGACTGGTGCGGTGACAATTGATAGTGCCACAAGCAGATGCTCCTGCGTCGTGAATGGCGGCTGAGATTCTATTCCACTGAAGCTGAGCGTCATTAGGACAAGACAGCGAAAGTTCGGTGCTCAATGCGTCTTGCTAGGCTTGCCTGATCGGATCGAGAGACAGTTTCGCACTTGATGATCAATGAGGGAGGCGCTTGGTACGCTTCCCGATAAAGTTCGTGGAGGTACCAAAGCGTGATCAGAATCGACGCAGGTATTCCAGTACGAGCGGCAATACAGGATATATATATATATATATATATATATATATATATATATATATATATATATATATATATATATATATATGCAACAGCCTACGAATAGGCATGAAGCCATGTAAAACCATTGGACTCAAACTAATATACAGATGTCGTTAAAAAATCAGAACACGGGAGAGTCCATGATTTTGTAAGAGGGCGAGGTACTACCCGGATGCCCAAGCCGAGGTAGGGTGTTGACTTAGGGGACACCACCCCGAGCCTTTGGCCGAATGGCTTGCCCGCCAACTCAGCGGAGTGTATTAAGGGAATTGTACCCATTGTGAGTCGATGACTGATTGTCCAGTTCATACACCTTTCTTCTGCCAGCCAGCGGGCCCAATGCTCCTCACCATTTCAGCATTAAGTTGCTGGCATACAATGTTTCGCCGGTGTGAAGCAAAAAGCACTGGCTTCGTTTAGTGGCGAGTCACATCTACCACGTCACAGTGTTGTTAAACGGACATATATGGCTTTTTATAGGGTGATCGCTTGCCAGGCGAAAACCCACCACGTCCTGGAACACTGCCGCCGCACGATTTGCTAGAACGGGATAATCCCAAACCACCCAGCTGGCAGCACGAGGAGGTTGTTCGACAAGCCAACGATTGCCGATGCGAAGACATGATCTACCGGTGAAGTACGAAGATATGAAACTGTCCTTGTGGAAACAATACTTGCTTTTCATTCATGTAAGGTGCCCATTTCTGTGAATCCCAACGAGGAAAATGAGCGGCAAATTTTCGACAGCAATTTTTTTCGTTTACTTCATCATCAGGTCGTTGCAATAATATACGCCATGTTAGAATAGGTTAGATTACTGTACAGCAGCTCAGTTGGTTAACCGGTTCAAAGTGGTTTCCCGACATTGGTCAGGTGACTAGGTCACGGATGTCAAATGAGTGTTGGGATGTGATCCCCCTTTCGTCTGTGGCTGACCAAAGCAATTGTAGCGATTGAACCATCTTTTAGATGCATAAGTCTGGACTCATCAGTCTTATACATACCGCCTCCGCGGTAGCAAGCAGACGATTTCTTATTCTGTGATTCGGGCGTAATGATTTACAAAGGCATACATTGATGCTGTGAGAGAACTCCAACAAAGAGAAGACGTTGTAACCAAACCAGATAAAGGATCAGGAACCGTAATCATGGATCGAAATAGACATTTAAGAAAATTGAAAATAATCCTCTCTTATAACTCACGGTTCCTAAAATGTAATCCAGATAAAGATAAAACCGACTACACAGAATTGCAAATGACCAAGTCGTTAAAGTTGCTAGTAAGTAACAACTTCATAACAGAAAAGACATGAAACACTTCTACCCACAGGCTCTGATTCCACGCCTTTATGGTCCCCCTAAGATAGGCGAACCGGGCATACCGTTAAGACCAATACTAGGCATGAGGAGTTCGCCATATCATAGCATAGCAAGGTAGCTGACAAAATACTTGAACCTATTGCTTAACGGACACGTTTCATTTTGTCGATGCAGTCCGGAACATGAATATCCAGGACTATCGGATGTTCTCCCTTGATGTTGTCTCGTTATTTACCAATGTGCCTGTGTTAGAAACGGTCAATTTTCTGTGCAATTACATTGATCAGCAAGGAATAAATCTTGGCTTAACAACTTGTCATTTGAAACAACTCCGATGCACCTGTAATATCCATTTTCAATCCCACGGTGAGCTATATAGATAGATCGATGGTGTTGCAATGGGATCCCCACTAGGACGGCTGCTGGCTGACATCTACTTAGGAATACTTGAACGTGACCCACTAAAAGCAGTCATTTCAGACGTGAACTTCTACCAGCGTTATGTGGACGACATATTTTGTATGTGTGACCAAACGACCAACTTGTAGCATGTCGACGAATGTTTCGACAGAGCACATCCAAACGCAGCCTTTACAATTGAAGAAGAAACTCACAATCAGATGAATTCCCGTGATGCAAAGCTAAAGAGGAGAGAGTGGATCAGTCCAGATAAGTGTGTACAGGAAACCATACTGGACTGGTCAATACGCGAATTTTCACTGCTTTATCCCACTCAGCCGCAAAAGAACGCTATTACACACCCTAATGAACCGCGCATATAAGATCTATAGCGCGGACACTATTGAGGACGAACTGCGGCGCATCAAACAAGTGCTTCTCGAGAATGGGCATCCTGATCGCTTCATTGTCACTCATATGAAGCATACTATTACCAAACCAAAGGCACAAACGGTCGAAAACAAACGACTATTTTTGACTTCCTTTCAAGTCGACAACGCAGCAGATATCTGTAGACGCAATCTGATACAAACTGTAGTATGACTTTTAGCGCAGCTCATCTAAATGTAATTTGTACGAGCCCACCAATATTTGTTCAGTGATTCAATGACCAAGTGCCTGATCGTCTCCAGTCAATGATAATTTATCGGTTTACTTGTCCCTGTGGGTCTGGGTACATTGGACGAACTACCAGACACTTAGATAAGAGAACCAAACAACATCTCCAATAACAACCTAGCTGAAGACACAGAACACCAAGTTGACAAACAAACCGCCTTTGACATTGTGTACAAAGTGCCACTACACTTGAATCACAGAATACGGAATCGTCTGCTTGCTGCCGCGGCGGTGGTATGTATAAGACTAATGAGTCCGGACTTTGCATCTACAAGAAGATGGTACAAGCGCTAAAATTGCCTTGGCCAACCACAGAGGAAAGGAGGGGTTCACATCCCAACACCCATATGACATCCGTGACCTAGTCACTTGACAAATGTCAGGAAACCACTTTGAACCGTTTAACCAATTGAGCTGCTGTGCATTATTGCAACGACCTGATAATGAATGAAGCGAAAAAAATTGCTGTCGAAAATTTACCGCTCATTTCCCTCTTTGGAATACGATTCTGCCTAAGGATCCGGTTGTCTTTTCTATCTACCTACCTCGCCCAACGACGAGCGCCAGTAGCCGGGTCCAGGTGTCCATTAACTGTTTCCTTTCGACTCAGTAGTGTAACCAGATCGACATCTTCCATTTGCATTTTACCTCGGAACGGACGGAATGGCTCCTGAAACTGATCTCAGGTCTATTTCGGCGGTCAGCGGAACGCTGGGTTGGATTGTGTTAACAGTGTCTTCGCCACACCAATTTTGCTCAGAACGTCAAGCTTACTGACTATCAGCATTCCGTTATGTCTTGATCACGTTGCTCGCGGTCATGTCACAATCCTGACTGAAAAACAGCATGTTGTGGACCCACACCAGTTGCTATTCTCAGTCCCTAGGTATGCTTCATGATCATCCTTTTACCTCTGAATCCAATAAAGACCCGTTTACATGATTACATCTCTGTTTTGGCAAGGCAGAGTCGTCCGCTGTTCCTTGTGATGATCGTTCAGCACACCACCACCGAGGTGCATAGGCTTTTGGTCTTCGTATTTGCTCATTTTTGTTCGCTTTTATTGTGGGTATTTACATGATGCCTGAGGGAAACTGATAGGTTTGGATTGTGAGGATGATATCTTTTTTCATGTCAGGCAGTTGTGTTACGTATCAATAAACCTTGGCTGTTATTATAACGCGAGACCTTGAAAACCTCTGAGAAGTTATCTTACTTATACCGCCTCCTGTTCGTCCGTTAGCTGTTTGTGGTCGTATGTTGTCGGTGCTGTGTAGGTGCTAATCCTTAATATCTGCTTAAATGTTTAGGTTTTACACTAGGCCCCCTTTATTCTCTTATGATTCATTCCTCACTTAACTGTGAATGTACAGCGGCAGAGCATCAGCTTAACTAGCTTGATGTATTGCTGCCAATGATGTTGATGAGACCGTCGATCTACAGTGCAATGTGATTCATTTTTCTACCATTCTGCTACCGATAATCTGTTGTTCCGGCATCTTTACACAACTTTTCTTCTCACACTTGCATCCTTATCACGCAGCCCTTATTGAGCCACATTGAGAATGCTGACGACCGGAGTTATTTCTTTACGTATGTTGCACTGTTTCGGTTTCGTAATATGGTGCGCTAATGTTGCTACACCAGCTTTCTTTCCTTTCTCCCATTCAAATCGTTTTCTTTTCGCAATCTACATGCCGTCGGTCGTTCGTCAAGGTAACTACTACAGTGAAGGACGTGGTACTTTTTCTGCGGCCAAAATTCCGCACACATCCCCCTATTTTTGATCCTCTTTTGCCGCTACTTTGTTATGTCATTGCTTCTTTGCAGCCAAACAAAAGAGATTCAGACTGGCCAAACATCCGTGGAGGATATATTCAGTCGAACGCTACTGTGGGAAGAGAAACTCCAACTGTTGCACATCCTCAACGGGACATTCGTGGATAAATCGATCTCTTCCATCGCACATGATAATTCCCCGTCTGGAACAATCGTATCCAACCATCCGGATGCGGTTACGCTGAACGCAGTGATTCCCCGTTATTACATACTACGGAAAGATCGTCTTCGAACTGCATTCGCCAAACTGGGTGAAAAGTCAACATACGTCAATGTGAGCTTCATACTTCATCGCGATCCGGTGAATACACAGTCTTGGTGGGAGTTGAAAGAGCGTACAACCACGGGGTCTTCCGATCCATGCTTCGAACGAATCCGTTTACCTACTCTAGGCGCCAGTGCGTCATCTGCCAAGGTCCTCTCAATCGTCACTTTCAATGAGCGCGTTTCCGACAGCTTGTTTGGAAAAGTGTTCAGTAATTATGGGTATGTTTTGCGATACATCATTGTCGTATTTTTGCTGTGCCCAGTGACTGTTGAGCAGTGATCTCTTAGGACAGCCGATATCTGATTGCACCACTTCTTACAGGCTTGTCCCCCACTTCAGCAAGTTGTTCGCGATTTCCAACTCGATAGTCCAGTAGTCGGGCCAGTGACTAAGTGACCACACATAAGTGTTAGGCGCTAATCAGGTAAAAAAGCTGTGCTGTTGGTTTTCGCTTTCGATTCTCTGTCTCTCCTCGGTCACCTAAATTGCCACGGTGTCGTTACAACATGCTGATTGCAGTTTTTAACCAGGATTTCAACAGACAATACAATCCTAATGCGTCCTTTCCTTTCAGTTACTAAATTCTAAGTTGGTGCTGTATCTATCGAGTATTGCTTCTTTAGTAAAGTGGCATTTCGCGCCATTCACCACGGGTATTTTGTTTTTTGACTCCTCATTATATCGCAAATATGCCTTAATGTTACGTTTCCGGGTGCGTAATGCCTGTTTTCAGCTAGTCTCATTTGAATCCTTTGTGAACCAAAGTTTATCATGATGAAATACAGTGACATCAACTAGGAGTATGCCTTTCTGATAAAGCCTCATCCCCACGCAGTATCCAAGTCTTTGTGGGCTAAAGGTATGGTAACTTGTAAGCGCTCCGATCCCAAAAGTTGGCTTAATGCGTTTAGCTCCCATCTTACGTCCTCTCCTTGTTCCATACCACTAGTTTTGTCCATCCCTTGCAGTAACGAAGCCTGACATAATAATATCGATGGCGATAATATTGAGATTGGTTTGTTCCCCTCTATTGGCATAGTCCCTGTAGGCTTCATCTCATTCTTTCCTAGCTAGTTGTTGGGGATGTCAAAGCTGTCTTTCAAAGTTTTATCATCAAGGTTCCATCTTTGACTCACTTATGTTTGCATCTGTTGTACGGCTCCTTGAACTGATGCACCAATAGTCGGACGCGTGTTTTGTGTGTATGTGTCCGTGCGTACTCGCTCTTCCTCTGCTTGTCTGCTATATTTATCAATTGTCGAAGTTAACTGACTTACGAGCCAGAGTGATCTCGTTTATACAATACACCCCTATTTTATAATGTCGTGTCTACTGACTCTACTCGATGGTGACAGAAAGCAAAAATGGCATCATAAGTGCGCAGGTACTGCGTATCGGCACTCTGCTGCTGCGCGACCACCACCAGTCACGCGTGGGCTAAGGATGCTGCGAACTCGCTCTCTCAGATTACAAGGCAGGCTTGTGATCCTATAGACCACGGGTGACAGGTCACTTCATATCATTCGTATTGGACCTCTAATTCTTACTAGGCAACCATGTATTGGGTAGACATATTTGAATCCCACGGCTTGTCTGTCACATTGAAACACTATGTCTTCCATTTCATGTCACTTACCTACCACCATCTCATCTCCCCTTGTACAGGATCATCGGCATGTACGCCGCGTACATATTTTTGGCCAACCGGTTACTGCGCACAATTTACAGCAATATCTCCTATGTCATTTGCCTGGAAGAGTTGCCCCATGTGGATCGTATTTTGAATCTATGCAACGAAATCTATTTGGTGCGTGAAAACAAACTACTTCGCCTTGAAGAACAACTAGTGGCGAAACTCTTCTTCCTCTATCGATCCTCTGAAACAATGATTAAATGGACCAGGCATCCGAAACGAATTATTGACAAGTTCACCGATCCCGCTGAGCCGGATCCCCGAGATTTTTCCCCTCCCAGATCTCCTTTGATTCATGAGGCTAGCATTTTTGCCGAACCGGATGACCATCACCATGCGTCTCGCTCTGTTAACCATTCCAACTCCGCTTTGTGGGACTCTCCGCGATCCGCTCCACTGTCTCCTGGCAGTGTGCGTCGACCTAATAGGGCACATTCTCCTGAAGCGGTCATCACACGCACAGCTCCGCTTCCCACAAGAGGTGCTCGGTCACAACGTCGAGCCTTGCGATCTTCGTTCGCTGGGAAGCGGGAACACTCAGCGAACGGTCTTGTTAAACGGAATGTGTAATCAGACAACTGCGCTTGCCATACAAGCTCCTGATCAATTCCTTGCACATAAATACCTATCACATTCATCACGCATTTTCAGGTTTGCATTCTACGGCATACCAACCCCTAAACTTCACTTTCTAGTCCGACCCATTTCTGTACAGAACCGCGACCTGTTTGCTGGTCATACCAATTTACATTTGGCTACTTCCTAATTTCACCTCTTCTCCCTTCTCCTACGAAAATTCGCTATGGTCACTTCGCACTGATGATCCTCCTACCTGCGCACCTGAGTTTCGTCACATCTGATGCTTTCTCGCTGTCCTCGTGACAGTCCGCACTTACGGGTTGCGATTCCGCGCGTCTTTCATCGAGTCATGTATTCCTCTTCCTCCCATTTATCATCGCCGTCCTTCTCTTCCGCACACCTTACCCGTTCCCTGCTGCTCACCACTCCAACCGACCATGTGACCACAAGGATGATTTTGCGACCAACCTCAGTGGAATTATTTTGTTTGTCTGTCTCCCTCGCTGTCTTCATTTCATTCCTTACTTGTATAAACGTGGAACTTTGTGCGTGCACCCCCTCGCACTACTTACTGTCAACTAACTGCTCAAGATGTCTCTCGAGTATATGTCTGTCCCATGTGCTCATGCGCTTGTGCTGATTCCGCCTCTCACCGGGGTCAACTTTCCGTTTGATAACTTAGTATCAAATGTGCGGACGACAGCTCCCTTTGGGCAGGATACAACTACCGAATAGGCTGCTGTGTATCGACATGTGCTTTTTGCCCTAGAAATGCGTGCTTTCATTTCATTATACACATCAGCTAGAGGTGGGAAAACACCTCCGCTATTGTGCCGCAATACATGAAGGAAATACATACATACATATAATACAATACACAAAGGAAAAATAGATACAACAGTCGCATGCCAGCTGAGCTACCAGCAACGGATAGGCATCGTTCTGGTACGCTTCCAGCCAGCTACTAGGCAAAAAGAAAAATTTTTTATTATGTTTTACCCTAGGAAATGAGATCGTAGATGGAGGGGGAGGCTAAAAGGGATGGGGAGAGTCAAAGAAACTCACAGCAGGAACGCCACTGAGGTCGGCTCCTTGCCATGTCAGCAAGTGTATCCAGCCAAACGTGTTCAACGTCTTTTGGACCCCAACCAGGGAGCCGTGAAGCTCCAACCGAGGCTAGCTCCGAGGTGAGGGACTTCATTCCCCTGGACCAAGTCATCGCTTGGCCACCTCTCCTCTTCTTCCACCCACATCCCCGGTGAGCAAACAACGCACGTCGAGGGAGTCGGTGGGCTGGCATGCGTAACACGTGGCTGAGCCATCGGAACCTGGTGCGGGAAATAACAGTGCTGAGCGGTTCAGATCCTTTTCCTGGGCCGTAAACAATGCGTCGAACACGTTGGTTACTCACGCGGTGTTCCCACCATATGTGAGCCAAACTGCTAAGGCACCGATGGTCGAACGTAACTAGCCTCTTCATGTCCGCCGACCTTAGGGGCCAGGTTTCGCAACTGTACAGTAAGGTCAAACGTACCGCTGCATTGTACAATACCCTTCAGGGCGAGCGTAATGTCGCGCCGCCGCCATAGGTGGCGAAGACTAGCAAAAGCACTTCGAGCTTTCGCTATACGGTTCGTGATCTCGTCTTCGATCCCAAGTGCGCTGATACAACTTCCCAGGTAATTGAATTTCTGAACGACTTCTAGCTGATCCCCACCAAGGGTCAGCGCAGGAGGCGATCCCTGCCAATGTTGGAGGAACGCTTTGCACTTCGATGGTGCAAAGCAAAGCCTGAAGCGGCTGACAGCCAGTGCTAATCTGTCCAGCGCGGCTTGGCACGTCTGGGAGTTGTCACAGATGAGAGCAATGTCGTCTGCATACTCCAAGTCAAGAAGTCGTTCTCCTGGGAGTAGCTTTAGACTGGGCCGCTTCCCCTCGAATGCTTGATATCACCGAACAACCACTCGAGGTGGTCTACCAGTTTACTTATATGACCATCTGTATCACATCTTTTGTCATCGGAGAGTTTGCCGCGCGTGTCGCTATAGTTACTGTAACCTCAATGCATCCTCCACTTGTTGGGAGGTAGGATGTAAACTTGTTAGTTATCGTAAGGACTTGCAACACCGCTTCACCGTAACTGTTACTATAAGGATGCGAGATAAGGCCACTGCGTGCTGATGTCGTTAGGAAAGTGTGCACGTTTGATCACCGCTACCCGCAAAGCATTGAGCATATATGCACCCTTTCCTAGTAATTTGCATCCATAGTGCAGTCAAAATGATCATTAAGGGACTCATCTTTCTCCGTAAGACTACTCGACATAGTCCATAATGCATACAAATTGCATCCCGCTTATGCACACGCACATTCATATGTAACGTTCGTTTTGAACAATGGCATCCGGATAGGTGTAGGCTGCAGTGCCAGCATGGCTGTTGAAATCAGGCAGCTGCAGAGCGATCGTGCTTTCGGAGGTGTTAAACAAGCAGTGGTTACACCGAAGCTAGGCCCAAGCAAGGTAAGAGACATCCACGTGATCCAACTCAAATTAGCGGTAGTTAAGGAATCATTATTCGGTCTAGGTACGCAATGTGTCCGCACACCCTAGCATTGGATGGTGAGAGGATGTGGGGCAGGTGTCGGTCCACGAAATGGTACCAAACACAACCTTCGGTGTAGTGGTAAGGCAAAGTCAGCACAGTCTTTGAATCAAGTCTAACGCAGTTGTGGCAGTGAACACGTCTGAAACACGGAGCCATCACAGTAGTGAATAGAGGGCGCGCTCAATTCCCCTGTGAATGAAGTATAAACGGCCTCAACAACAGGGCTGTAGCAAGCCAACAAGATGTCCGTTTGAGGCGAGAAAACGGGTAAAACACAGAGTACTACATCTTTTCCCAATTGACTGCATCCACAGTGTAATTGAATTGCTCCACAAGTATCTGATTTGCATCCGCAAGCTAGTTGAACATAGTCCTTAACGCATTCGAATTGCATCCGGTATCTTTCCGACGCACCATGCGCACACAATTTCCTTGAAATTGAGCTAGCCCAAATCAGCCAATGACGGTTGATACGATAACCCTTGCGTCGATGTATGAGTTGGTGGTGTGCGGTGGAGACGCGTGGGCGTTCTAGCCACCATTCATCAACGATTGCCTACACTGAAGCTAGTTCCACATAGTTGAGGGGCACAAGATTGTCCAAACACCTGCTGCGACTGGGTTAAGGGTTCAGTGGTGGGCAGGAACTGCGAACACGGTAATACGACACCCTATAAATTTCAGTAGCTGAATTATCGCACTCTGCAAGCCTAGTTTCACGCACGGCTTGATTCGCAGGACAAAAGGAGCAAAACTCGATGTGGTAGGAATCGGATATGTGGTTCTATAACAGTAAATTTAAATGGACATAAATGACTAGGTTTGTAGACGTAGCCTCACTGTTGCTCAACTGTGTGATGGCCAGCACGTCAACGGTAAAGCGTGTGATTGTGAGCCACTAGGACGGTGTTTCGGTTAACCACAGTGCTGCGAATAAACAAATGTCACAGTCGTACATTATAATCCTCGTAGTTGTGCAGAAATGGCATAATGAAGGCAAACTAAAATTTACATACACTGGAGAGTACGAAAAGAAGGATAACATTTGCAGTTTGTGAATATGTCATTCACACACCCCATCATCGATCTTATGACTAGTTTGCCATTGGCGCAGCCTAAAGTTTTGGACGACTCACCAACACTCAGGCATTCGACGGCACCGTGTCCGGATAGCAGGTGCATGGCTGCAAATGATCGAGGGCGGTGGTGCCAAAGCGTTAAGACGGGCTTGCGAGTAAAGCAATAAAAGGGGCCTGTACAACTAAAATAAATTTTGGGACATTGCCGTCTTGGGTTCTAGAGCGACTGTATGTTGGGAGGCATAGTGCCGAAATACAACTGCGACAGTTAAGTTACAAGTCCGGTAGGCACTGCTTTGTTACAGCAAGCGTCAACAAACGTCATGGTGAATGCAGTACGCCGACTTGATGGTCCCTTCCTACGGTAGTTGTACCTACAAAGCCCATACTTCCGCGAGGTCGATAACACAATTCCCTATCTAACGGCCTGTGAACACGTAGGCCACAATCACAGATGGCAGTACGGATCAAATAACTCACGCTTGACATGTCCCGTAGGTTGGCCGTGATGAAGAGAGAAAAAGTAATTAATGCACGTACAAATAAAATGGAGTGTTAAATGGTGTCTTAGCAGTGATATTTGCATGATAACTTGGTATACATCAATTTGGTTGCAACTAATCGCTCGCCATAATTATATGTCTTCGGGCCGAAGCGGGAAATCCGAGAACCTAATTTTATACATGAAATTCCTTTTATAATTTCAAATAAGAACATCAGAAGACGTAGGTTGTGGGTTGAAACTGTTAGGACGACCTACCAGTGCTCGGGCCGGTTCAGTGAGTCCGAGTATCAAGACAGTCACAGATGTATGACCTACAGTGAGACCTCATTGAGATGCCGTATTTTGCTTTGATTGCTCTTAGGGTATCTCACAGTGCCTGTCCTCACGCGGTGATAAGTAATCTACAGCACTATGCAAATTCAATATGTCCCTAATAAAACTTAACATAACGATCAACAGAATTACTCTTCACTTTATGCGCACAGTAGTCATCTTCGTGATACCAACTACTTACCATCCCCCTCCATGAACTAGGGACACAACAGTACGCAACAACGCATAACCTCTCTTCGTTAGCAGCAATGTAGTCCTGATTGCCAGGAATCATTCCTATACCCTCTGGTTGTCTCACAACGCCTAACGCAGAAACATGCTAGAACTCTCGGCGAAAGCACTTGGCCTGGACACCATGTTTATATCTGAATGTCGATGCACAGCAGTGGCACCAGTTCAAATTATATATATATATATATATATATATATATATATATATCAATAAAATAGGAGCGATTTACAAAACTGTACAATGCATTGCGCCAGCGTAATTCCTTTCTACATGTGCTGGCAATGCTGAGGCGTCACACAGGCTCGCGTCTCTGACACAATTCGCTCAAGGAAACGCATTCTCCACTCAGTGTTGCAGAGTACACCCTCAGGATCACCGTGAAGCATCTCGGCATATCTGTCTCATAGCTTGCTTCACTTAGGCTTTTATCATGTTCCAAATGCCCTCAATTGGGTTCAGTGATGGAGAATAAAGTGAAAGGTGCAGCAGTTTGCCCGAACAGCACGACTTCGCTTTGAATACGCGTTCCAGATTTGTGTGGTATGGCGCGTAATCGCAGATCAGGAGGCAGCTTGTGGGCTTAAACACAGGCGGCCACCTACCAGTCCGCATTTCACTCTTCATTTGCACAGGAACCCTTTGTCACTTTAATCGCAATACCTCGGAATATTTTAAAACCACAGGCCTCCATCAATCGCAGTCATTCATCTGTGGTCATTGCTATCCGGATATACCGAACGTGTGTAGTCGTGTGCCCTTTTCGATGTCGTGGTAACCCTTAACTTGCACAACTTGTAAGCGTGCTGTAGTCGTACATTTCAGGTAGACTATATCTTTACATGACTGTATCCGCAAGGAAACTTGCGCCGTC